GTCCTAAAATTAGGATTTTGGGGGTCATAGGGTCCTTGAAGTTGAGAATTTAGGGCTCCTAACAGGGCCGGATTTACGTGCTTGCCGCCCATGGGGGCCACTTGTATTTTGCCGCCCTCCTCTCATCCGTTTTGAAACATCAATAAAAACTATCAAGTGAACATGCCGGAAGGAGAGGGGTGCATGAGATGCGTTTACTCGTGATGGACACATTTTTTGCGAAAGCCCTGTCAACACCACTAGCAAAATTTCACGGAACTTTGAACGAAAGTTAAGTCTCGTAAACCTATCCTGTGTGGACAACGCCTTCCATTTATAAGAAATGAACGAAAAAATTATGAAAGAACAAACATGAATGTGGTTTAATAATCTTAACCTCCGCCACCGCGCCGCGCTGACCTCACTATGTTTTGCGCAATGGGTGAAGTATTCCTACAGTCTTGTAGGCGCTATGCGTTTCACGCCGACCGCTGCGGACCGCACTGTGTCCGCCGTAATGCGTGAAGTATTCATGCAGTTTTGTAGGCGCTTATATGTGTTATACATGCCGACCGCCGCGCCGCGCCGCGCCGCCGAGGGCTTCTCCCTTTCATGTGAAGTCTTCGTTATCATTGCTCTCTGCGCCACGCCGTTCCAGGCCAAATTGCGTGTTTGGTTTCTCCCTTAACTCGACTAATTAAAGGTGCTGTTTCTTGTATCACCGAAAGACGACAAAATTAGAAATTACCATACCTTTACTCACAAGAAAATGAGAGATTTTGTGGCCTTCTTACTTTATAATTTTTTTTTTCTGAATCCGATTTTTTTTTATACCCACATCTGAAAAAAGTTCAAAATTTGCGGCCCCTCAATTTGCCACCATGGGCCGCGGCCCATGTGGCCACCCCCTAAATCCGGTCCTGGCTCTTAATGACCTTTCTGAAACCTAAGCCTGGAATTTCGATGAAACATCGACATCCAGGGTCGGACTGACCATAAGGCCAATCTGCCATTGGCAGATGCGCCCCCTCAGCGCGCCAAAGGCGCGCCCCTCTTCCGGCGGCTAGAATGATAGTAAAGAAAATGAAGAAAAGGAGAAAAGAAAGAAAAGAAAAAAAGGAAAAAGAAGAATAAAAAAAGAAAAGAATAATAAATAAAAAGCAAGAAGAAAAGAAAATAAGTAAAGAAAAAAATGCCTAAAAATTATGAGTAAACGAGAGAAGCTTTAATAGGCGAGTTATAGAGGAAAGTGTATTCTGCATTCTGTCCCCTTGTCTCATTTTTCTTTTCTTTAGCTGTGTAGTATGTATATTCATCAGGGCCGGCTTTATCTACTTGCCACCCATGGGCCGCCTGTATTTTGCCGCCCCCTTCTCATTCGTTTTGAAACATCAATAAAACCATCAAGTGAACGTGCCGGAGGTAGCGGGGCGCATAAAACACGTTTACCTACTCGTGTTGGACACATTTTTTGCGAAAGCCCTGTCAGCACTACTAGCGAAAGTTCACGGAACTTTGCGCGAAAAAGTCCCGTAAACCTATATCTTTGTGGACAAGGCCTTCCATTTATAAGTATTGAGCTAAAAAATTAAGAAAGAACAAACATAAATGTGGTTTAATAATTTTAACTTCCGCCGCCGCTCCGCGCTGACCGCACTGTATTTGGCGTAATGCGGGAAGTATTCCTACAATGTTGTAGGCGCTGTGCGTCCCACGCCGACCACACTGTGTCTTACGCAATGCGTGAAGTATTCATGCAATCTTGTAGGCGCTAATATGTGTTACATGCCGACCGCCGTGCCGAGGGCTTCTCCTTTTCATCTCAAGTCCTCGTCATCATTCCTCTCTGCGCTGAGCACCAGGCCAAATTGCGTGTTTAGTCCCTGTCTTGATTCGACTAATTAAAGATGATGTCTCTTGTATCGCCGAAAAACAACAAAATTAGAAATTACTATACTCTCAGGAAAGGGAGATTTTGTCCACTTTTTTCATTGATAATTTTTTTTCCTGAACCCCATTTTTTTTATACCTACATTTAAAAAAATTGCAAAATTTGCCGCCATGGGCCGCAGCCCATGTGGCCACCCCCCTTATTCTGGCCCTGATATTCATTGTTCCCACTTTGTTTAAACATTTGAAAATTTAAATTTAAAATGTATTGTATCAGTTATTTATACAATATACAGGGTCTGAAGTATTTCTTGTTTTCTTGTCACCCTCATTTTCCACCTTCCAGTTTTCAAAGGCATGATTTTGGAACTGCATGAACTTTTGAGCTCTGATCTCAATATTTTATCGGGTTCTAAAGACCGATGTTTATGTGGGCTCAGAAAGTACTTTTGAGGCGAGGGGGGAGGAATTGAGAATAATCAATGAGGTCAGAATTTTTTCATCTCCTCGGACCAAAGGAAGGCCTTGTCTCCACAGGCCGTTTTACGGGATTTGTCCCAGGGAAAAATCCCACTTACTAAGTTGGGAAAAATATTGAGTCAATCAATATTTTTCCCGGTACCAGGTATGGTGTCCTTTACCCCTAGGACTCACGGGGAGAGGAAGAAGAATAGTCAAAACGAATTGTGCGATATTTTATTCATTACTCCATTGTTAATGTTTTTTTAGTTAAAATAATGTGTCTAATTGTCAATTGAGTGCAATTATTATTTTAATCCCGGTTAAATAATCGACTTTAACTAATTTATGTTCCCGCGCAAACTAGTCGCAGGACCGTATGAGCCCCGTCCCTTGGAGACGGTAACTGGGAAAAATCCCAGAAGTTTCCTTCCTGCGATTCGAACTTGGGACAAATCCTATGAAAACGTCCCGTGGAGACAAGGCCTGAGAGTATTTGGAACCTGTTGTTTTCTTGAAAGCTTGAAATCTGCGGTTGCATGAGCAATCGCTAACAACTCTATAGGGTCATGCGTATTTTTCTGCACGTGAGAAAATTGCCTTCTACCCGCATTTAAGTACGCACGTACCCACGAAAAGAGTATAGCATAAGGAATACAGGGTGATCCAAAAGTCCCTTCCACCCCCTCTAACTTTTTACCTAATTGAGGTAAAGATTTGAAACTTTGGAGATGTTCCTAGGTTAAAGAGAGCTACTTCTGGCCCCCTAAAATTTTCAAGGGGGTCCCCTTGGGGGGGCAACGGACTCCAACTTTTAATTTTCAAATGGGAAGACCCCCTTTGTGATAGCTCGTTCGAAAGAGCATAAAAAAAGAAAACTTTTCGCGCAAACCCGAAGTCAATATTTCAAACCGTTCCAAAATGGCGGCCGGTTAAAGTTCAAAATGGCCGAAAATTCACACCGGTTATTTGTCGATGGATTTGCGCGAAAATCGGTGTGTAAAGGTATTTTGACACGAGAAAAACGAATTTGACGTTAGATTTTCAAAAAACCAAAATTTCCAAAATGGCCGCCGGTTAAAGTTCAAAATGACCCAAATCTATCAAGCGAAAAACCGAGGTGACAATTTTCGGCCATTTTAAACTTTGACCGGCGGCCATTTTGGAAATTTCGGTTTTTTGAAAATCTAACGTCAAATTCGTTTTTCTCGGGTCAAAATACCCCTACATACCGATTTTCGCACAAATCCATCGACAAATAACCGGTGTGAATTTTCGGCCATTTTGAACTTCAACCGGCCGCCATTTTGGAACGGTTTGAGATAATGACTTCGGGTTTGCGCGAAAAGTTTTCTTTTTTTATGCTCTTTCGAACGAGCTATCACAAAGGGGGTCTTCCCATTTGAAAATTAAAAGTTGGGGTCCGTTGCCCCCCCCCCAAGGGGGTCCCCTTGAAAATTTTAGGGGGGCCAAAAAGTAGCTCCCTTCGACCTAGGAACATTCCCAAAGTTTCAAATCTTTACCTCAATTAGGTAAAAAGTTAGAGGGGGTGGAAGGGACTTTTGGATCACCCTGTATGGACTGTACTAAAAGTACAGCGTAATTCTCACGAGATCTGCATTGGAGGGTTCAACTAAACAACTATTTCCAACAATATAGAATTAGACAATCTTTCCTCCTTAAGGTGATTCGTCAAGCCCAAGTGACGTGGTCAAACTGGTATGCGATATATCGCATCGATTAGGTCGAAAATCTCGGCAGATTTTGAATTTTTAGTAAAAAAAAAAAAAAGACGATAGCCCCTGCGCATATGCCTAAAGAATCATTCTAATCCCAAAAATTGGCAAGTCAGAGAAATGAAAGCAGCATAGTGTTTGGGAAAAACGTCGCATTCGATACAGAAATCGATAACTGAATCGAATGCGAGGATTTTTCCAAACACTATTCTGCTTTCATTTCTCTGAATTTTGCCATTTTTTGGGTTTAGAATGATTCTTTAGGCTCATGCGAATGGGCTATCATCTTTTTTTTTTTTTTTTTTTTTTTTTTTTTTTTTTTTTTTTTTTTTTTTTTTTNTTTTTTTTTTTTTTTTTTTTTTTTTTTTTTTTTTTTTTTTTTTTCACAAACAAATTTAAAAGCTGCTGAGATATTTGACCTAATCGATGCGATATATCGCACGCCAGCTCGATCACGTCACTTGAGCTGGACGAATCACCTTAAATATATCTCCTCCTCGATGGCGAAAAGTAAAATTAGAAAAAAGTACACAACAAATTTGTAAGTAATAGTTCTCGTCGTATGTTACCTACGTACGTGTATTACTGTGGAGGACAAGGCGCATCAGTGCAGTTTTCGAAAAAATTGAGATATGATGTAAGTAGATAATGATTTCTAGTAAAACTAGTCTTCATGCATATCATGTGAAAAATTTGCTCTCAAATTCCAATTTTTAAGCATCGAAAAGTCAATTTGAACTTTCACTCCGCCAGGAGTATCGCTATGTAATTTTGAAACTTCCAACACGTATTTCTCGAAATAGCAAAAACTGCACTTATGCGCCTTGTCCTCCAAGCCCTTTGATTAATTTTTAAATTTTCGCGCCATTAGCGACACTAGCGCAGAGCTTGGCAACTACGCTATCAATGTTTACAAACAGGATAAAACATAAACAAACCAAACCGCACCGCATTCGGAATAGGAACTTGAATTCAAACTTTCTAAACTTTCTCTTCCGTAAATTTTGCGTATTCCATTTAGTTGCGAGCGAATTTTGGTGCAAGTTTTCTCGGTTGTCAGTCAAACGTTAAGAGCTGTTTCATGATGGCTAGAAGAGCTCTAAGAGTTACTGTGACTCTGGACTTTGAAACGGTGAGTACTCCTTGGTTGTTCGATACCATTGATTTCAAATTCAATTCTAAGCTTTAAATTGCCTGAAGTTTGTATTATTTCTACATCAACATTGCATCAAAACTTTCCATCCATCTGTAGCATATGCCTCTTCATTAGCTGTGCTTTCAAGTGTCAATTTCACAACTTACACTAACCTACTGAAATCATCAAAGAGATGTCTGATGGGAATCATCATGAATTGCTGCGAGTCCTGTTTAAGAAAAACTATGTATCAAACCAATAATTGACTGCGTACGAACTGAATTGTAACCAAATCCCCTCAGTTCCATCAAAATTAATTGACCTGACTTTTTATGTTCACACATCTCTGATCAAAAATCCTTTAACTTGAGCAAAGTACTTATCAGAAACAGCATTATTAGCAGAGATTTGAAGCAAGGCTGGTGAGCCATGGTTTCAAGTTTTAGACCCACAGTCGAAGGAAGCTATTACTACTTAAATGAGGCCTACCTTTTTTGACGTTCAGCTCCTTTCAGCTGTCACCCGCTACTGAGAACGAGGATGGTTAGGCAATAATCATTTGTTAAAAAGAGTAGTCGTGTTTGTCTGAAGTCATTGTTATCACATCATAATCATTGTCATGGTTTCTAGGTACATAACTTTCTCATAGATATATCTGTGCTTTTAATCCATTGACTTATAACACAATCTAGACCGCGTACTAGGCCCGATTTTCAGTAGGAGAGGTAAGACAGCTAGCGGGGTAAATCAGGGTAAAGACGCGCCTTCAGCTTAGTTGATACAGCCGGACATACAAAGCGTACCAGGCAACGGCACTGGCAAGACCGGTATTTCCATTATCTCTGTACATATTGACCGTTACACTTGATGGGTTGCCTATCGTCTCGCCGAAATTTCCTAATGTGCGGTCTAGATTGTATTATACGTCAATGTTTTAATCACTTAGAAAATCTTCAAAAGTCTAGCTCCTCCAACCTTTCTACTTTTTAATAAGATAACTCATTATTTTTTTGTGATACTAACTGCCAATTCTGTGTATATTTAACCTACTGAAATCAAGCAATCTTAACTTTATTTATATCTGTGGAAAATGATCAGCAATTAAGTAATTGTCATCTTCAATTTTTCTCTTTCCTCCTTTTTTTTATAAAGCATGTAAATTTAAGTTTATTTGCATGAATTTTTTCGGAATTCATTTTTCTATTAGGTCCTAAAATTTTTCATAAAATCCTTTGTTCGCAGGTCACTTGTCCGGGAGTATGGCTGTGCCCTAGAGGTAGAGCTTACCTCCAGGTGCGCATGCTTGATAGAGTGTACAGAACCAAAGAAGTTTTACCAGCCTTCCCTCTTCAGTTTTATGAAAGGTTCCAGTATCAACAGGTACGGACAATTTTTATCTCCAACTTACTAGCATAAGGTCTTCGAAAGCATTATTTGCCAATTTAATCGTTTAAGAGATAATTTAATTTCATACTTCAAATGGTCATTTGCGACGCATTCCAGAGTGACTTTGCAAAAGTTAGTTTTGCCATTGTTACTAGAACTGAGGAAAGAAGAGGATGGTAAGTTGTCACATTAACCTGAAGTGCATCGATCATCAGTTGGCTCATTGTTAGCATTTAAACTTCTATAGAAAGGTGTCATCTTCCAATTTTACAACAATCGTCCATTCTTTTCTTTCCTTAGTTCTGCTACATTATGGAGTCAACCCCAAATCAGTTGCAAGGAACATGGTTTGTGCAGATAGGTATTTGAGAATGCTCAAAAATATGCCTCCTTTTTTCCAACTATTTTTGTACTTCACAATTTTTAACTTCAAGTAATTGACAAAATGTACATGATTGCATTATAAAATTGTATTGTAGGAGACTAAATCCCATACAAAAATTTGTGAATGCATCAGAAAATATTTCGAAAGACACTTGGGATCAAATTCATTCTCTCAATGACTTGAACCCTAAGCAACTTATCTGAATATAACTGTAAACTACAACAGTAGTTCTATCACACTATACGTATACTGTGCTTTACGCTCAATACTTCTCAGATTTACATTGTCATTGGGAGAATTGGAAGATAAATTTTAATGGATAATTTTTTTCAGACTGTTTGTAAGGCTTGGACAGTTGAACAGCTCCGGGAGTATTTGGCATCAACGTGTATTCATGCTGAGCTGGTACAAGTCACTTCCCAAAGTAACTTATTGGTCTTAGCTACTTTTCGGACGTCGGTTGCTGATCTTCTTTACCCGATTGAAGATGAGATTGGCGTATGCATTCAAAGACCAGTGAGTCTTCTGATGGATGCTACAGACCGCTTTCCGGTGAGTTCTATTGTCGGTGTTGTTGTTCAGAAAAAGAAAATTACTCTACTTTCAACTAACATGGAAGTATCTATTGTCAGGTCTCGAGTTAGGAATCAAACATTTTATACACAAACTATGAGTAATATACATGTACATATTGGTTTGGCATTAAAAATGGAAAAAAATACAAGATGACTGACTGAGAATTTATGTTAACATGCTTTAAGAATGTTTTGTATAATAAGTAATAAAAGTGTGTTCGTATATAATTTATTTATTACTTTTAAGGACTTTTCTTGAAAAACCTCTTATATCCTGCACCATGCTGTTGAGATCGCACATCTCTATTTAGTTTTTACATTGAATCTAATTTAGAGTAATTCATAACTCTTTTTAACGGGAATTTTGAGATGACCTAGTCATAGTATTCGTTGATAAAATCATAGACGCCACTGATATCAGTGATAACAATACATTAGTAGGTACAATTTTATCAAAATTGCCAAGGGTATGCATTAAATGTTTTTTCTAAAGAGCTGCTAAATTGCAAAGAGATATGAGTAGGGTTCATCCAAAGTTTGCTTTCCTAATAATTATTTAAAAATCCTCCAACCCTTTTTAAGTAACATGTTTTCCAGAGAAAATTTAATTAAGATTATATGCCCAGCCTGAACATAAGGGCCCAAATTTTGTTGGCTATTTTATGTAAGGCTGAAAGGTGCAGCAAGAATAGCAATTTAGTTTTTCGATTGCTGTTTAAGTACTGGTTTTCACTGCTGAAGAACTAGAGATGGTCCCAGACTCATCGAAAATATTTAGTGGGAAAAATCCATTAGCATCTCAAAATTTGTCTCATTTTAATTGGTCATTTTCACCCACTTGTTCATCTACATTCTCATATGTCTACTTCGCCTTTTCAGGGTACCATAAATCCGAAAATTGAAGTAGGCACTGCCCTCGTCATTGACGAGATGATAAACTATCCTCTTCGGGGTGATTCGTGGATATTGGATCCCAAACATCTCCAGATTGGGGTGAGTTTATGTTCAATTCAAAATTAATGAGGTGTTTTTCATTTGCCAAGAAATAAGCTTCCACCCATAGTTTGACATAGTTTTTTCAAGTGGAGGAAGCAAAGACTAATCAGGAATTTGACCAAAGGGCAAAGCATTCCAGGAGAACTGCATCAGAAAATGCATACGTTCTAAGGAGAACGGGACAATTTTCAGCCTGAATATCTCAAAAATTAACCAATACATCTCCATTAAAGTTCAAAAGATTTAAAATTCAGGCATCATGATGTTTGTAAGACTAATAAAGCTCCCCAAAACCTCCTGAATTTAGAAAAATTCATACTCTGTGGAAATGAAAGTTTCGTCATTACCATTAATGTTGAAATAACTGGTCAGACTTGTAATTTATATTGACCGTTCAAATATTGATGTTTGTCATGGGGCATTTCTAATGGAAATCACAGATTCTCTATAAAATGGAAAGATAAGTTTCCATTAAAAAAATTATACTTTTCATCTAATTTTCTGTTGAAAAATAATCCTCCAATAGATTTTACCATAATATTCTTTTTCCTCCTTGAAATGTTTTATTTGGAATACAAGGATCAACTTCTCTCTACTATTCAACTTATACCTGTAACTATCTCCTTTATTCATCACCTGATTCACATGTTTCGTTTTTTTTTTGCAGACAAATGCAAGCACAAAGCCCCGAACAAAGGGACGGTTTCATCAAACACCGGTTTGCCACTCAGACCGATCGGTGGAGCGTTGCGATAGCTGCAAGCCATCTACAACCAATAAAAAGTATCACATCCGCATCAAAAGTCCACTGAAGTCTCCTCGCAGGAGAAGGTACTTAGTAATAGGAATCAATTAATAATTAAAGCATTCTTTGCAATCACTTGCAGTATGTATTTACCATGTATTTACAATCCCTAAAATAGATAGATTCTTTCTCGAAATTTCCAATGTAAATAGCTCTTCAAGATCGTCATAAATGCCATAAGTTTTTCTTTTGTGACCTTATATATTTTGAAAATGAAGATTCTCCTACCTTAATATTCAAAAACTAGACATCATAAGCATTCAATGATGTAATTGAATTTCAAAAGTAAAGAAATGTCCTTAATTATTTTTTCAGTAATTCAATGGAAAAAGAGAACTTGCCGCAAAGGTTCAGCACAAGTACTTTTACAGGACATGCTGAAGATCCTGGAAATCTAGGAAGCCTGAATTTTTGTCAAGCTCAGGAATGTGGGTTGTGTGCCAATTACGAGCGTAAAATGGAGGCGTTGCACAGGAGGGGCAGTTCCATCTCCAAAAGCAAGTATCACTCCATGCCAACGCAGAAATACTCTACAGCTCCCAGCCCTCACAAAAGTGGAGTTTATGGTAAGTCTTTCAAAAGCCTCTTCATATCACTACTAGGGGGTGCTGGTGCGTACCCTGACCACCTAATGATTCAATCCCTGGAAGAGCTTTGCATCTCAGGTGTAATGGGTTACTTTTATGATTTTGTATTACACCGGTCAACATGGGCTCTGTCTTTCGAACCAAACCAATTTTTTTCGATTCCTAGGTGCTAAAGAAGCCCGAAAATCGCCATAATAGCTTCAGGAAAATTGGCTGGTCCTCAGGGCGCCGCCATTTTGAATTTCAAAATTGAGAACACCCACCATTAGATTCTTGCAAATATCTTCTCAACGGTTTATCTCACAAAAAAAAAAAAAACAAAAAAAAAAAACAGCGGAAAGAGCATAAAATTTCCTACCGAAATCATCCTCCTTTGTTATTTCTAACTCAATTTTGTGTTCGTGAAATTAACGTTTTCTTCAAAAATGAGCCCATAAAAGGCGCATTTTTGCTGATTTTAGGAGAAACTTTGCTTCATACCTCCAGCTACGATTATCTGAGAAAAAAACTGTTGTGCTCATTAAAAAGAGCGTAAAATTTACTACCAGATAACATATGTCAATAGTTCCTAAACTTGATTTAATCCTGTGAAACAGCAGTTTATTAGCTCTGCCCTTAAAATGTGATTTTTTCGACCATTTTCCTTAGAATCACGAAAAAAAAAGAAAAAACCCTAAAAACGTGACCCAAACTGTGTAAAAAGGTGGCAGAATAGTGCTGGGTCCACACCATTTTGAAAACAAAACCAAGAAGATGAAAAATTTTCAATTGGAGTCAAAGATTTTGAGCTCTAATGGGTAACCAGTAAGGCAGTACATAACTGAAGGGGAAGATCGTTCAGCTCAGGCAATTAGCATTAGAATATTAAGTAGAGGTTACGGTGAGAGATCTATAATTTTGGGTCTTGTTATAGACCTAGTCAGTAGATCACATTTGTCAGTGAGATCAAAAGCCAAAAAGTTCAAAAATTTTCAATCAGAGTCAAAAATTTTGAGGTCCAATGAGTCAGTACCAGTACGAAACTTGTCATCTTGCAATACAAAACTTGTACTTCAAACTTGAGTTTTGATGCCATCTTGGATATTGCGAGATTTTCAGTTGGGTTCACATAATGAGTGTGATCTACTGATGAGGTATAAAAAGACCCAAGATTATAGATCTCTCGCCGTAACCTCTCTACTTAATATTCTAATGCTAATTGCCTGAGCTGAACGCTCTTCCCCTTCAGTTATATGTACTGCCGTACTGGTTACCCATTAGAGCTCAAAATGTTTGACTCCAATTGAAAATTTTTCATCTTCTTGGTTTTGTTTTCAAAATGGTGTGGACCCAGCACTATTCTGCCACCTTTTTACACAGTTCGGGTCACGTTTTTAGGGTTTTTTCTCTTTTTTTCGTGATTCTAAGGAAAATGGTCGAAAAAATCACATTTTAAGGGCGGAGTTAATAAACTGTTGTTTCACAGGATTAAATCAAGTTTAGGAACTATTGACACATGTTTTCTAGAAGTAAAGAACCCCGCACAGAGCGTGGGGTCAGCGGCTCTCGATGAAAGTTGATGAAACTTTAATAGATTGATATAAAGTTCATAATTAAGGGATTGCCAAAAAATTAGCTCACTTTTGCAAGTAGAAGCGGAGATATTCGCGATTGAACCCGGACTATTTTCTGTGTGGCGGAGGTAAATTTTCCGTGTCGCCTTACCTTCCATGAGCACTTCGGCTCATGGAAAGCCCCTCTCCCCACCAGGTAACTACGATGTCGCATTGTTTACACTCCCTCCTTTCATTAGGACGCTCCGTTCGGGCTGTGCGATATGGAGTTCCCTGCTTCTCGCACCTCTCCCGTGCCGGCGCCGCCGGCCGGTTTAATCTGAAATGTAGTTGCTGAAACAGAAGTGACAGATGCGGGGAGAGGGAGGGAGTATGCTATTCTTACCAGCCGTGCGCATAAGCACCTATCTTCACGTGTGAGACGTGAAGTCTGATCGAGAACACAGAACAACGAGAGGAGAGGGGACTCGGAATTCTTCCGCCATGCTGCGGCATGATAGAAAATAGTCCGGATTCAATTGCGAATATCTCCGTTTCTACTCGCAAAAATGAGCTAATTTTTTGGCTTTCCCTTAATTATGAACTTTGTATCAATCTATTAAAGTTTCATCGACTTTCATCAAGAGCCGCTGACCCCATGCTCTGTGCGGGGTTCTTTTACACTCTTTTCATTGAGCACAACAGTTTTTTTGTCAGATAATCAAGGCTGGAGGTATGAAGCAAAGTTTCTCCTAAAATCAGCAAAAATGCACCCTTTTTAAGCTAATTTTTTAAGAAAACGTTAATTTCACGACCAAAAAATTGAGTTAGAAAAAACAAAGGAGGATGATTTCGGTAGGAAATTTTATGCTTTTTCTGCTGGTTTTTTTGTTTCTTTTGTAAGATAAACCGTTGAGGAGATATTTGCAAGAATCGAATGGTTGGTTTTCTCAATTTTGAAAAATTCAAAATGGCGGCGCCCTGAGGACCAGCCAATTTTCCTGAAGTTATTATGGCGATTTTCGGGCTTCTTTAGAACCTAGGATTTAAAAAATTGGTTTGGTTCGAAGGACAAACCAAAACCCGAAATTTGTTGTGCTGTGTTATAGATGAGATTTGTGATTATTTAAATTTAAATGCACACCTTCTTTCACAAAAAAGGATGTTAGTGCCAAAAAAGTCTAAACTGAGGTACTGGTACCACTGCCCAGAGGAGTGTATCAAAAACATTCTAGTCAAAAAACTGCCCTCAAGTGCTTTTTTATAAATGGCTTTGGAGCAAAGTTAAATCAATATACATATTGTAACGAAATCATTTTTTGTATTGAATGTTATATGGGAAATTTCTATTAATGATATCAAATTGTATTACTTAAATGGCAACTTTACGCCTCCTACTGGTATCAAAAATGATCCAAAGCGTTTGCAACCTATTTTTGATATGATGGAGTGTTTAACATGAAAAATTCAAATTCAGATTCTTCGACTGGAATGAAAAAAAATCGTTGCCCAGAAAAATTAGAGCTCTTACCCGTGGTCTCTTTTCCCATGTGTGGAAATGACGTAAATGAGTACATACGCAGTCCTGTCAGTCACCAAGTCTTCCAAGCATTAAAAAACAGGGAAAACATTTTAAGGAGCGTCATGACAAAGAGCCAATCTTTTTTTCTCTTTTTCAATTTTTTTGTAATTAAAGTTTTATCCTTTGCTCAAACAACAACCAAATAATGGCTCACACAAACTTTCCTTTCAGGATGCCACTAAAGTTTTTAATATTAACTTTTTCAAATTTATTCTTGTTTCAGAATCGAATAACATTCGCTCTGATCTTCATGGATCCTATGCAAAATTAAGGAGGTAAGTTTAATTTTTGTTTTGTACAAATTGTTATATTAATTATCAATGCCAGGAAGTTATGGTAGGAATATTCTGCAAATAGAGGGAACAAAGGATGTTGCAATCAGACACATTTTTCCGCCTGTAACTTTTATGTTTAATTTTTGGTCTTCATTCATAAGTAGGTATACAAAGTCATAATTTTCAATGGCTTTTGTATGGGGAATTAGAAAAAAAGTCTGGAATTAAATTTTACTCCCAAAATGATGAAGAAAGTAGGAGAATTTTAGAGAACAAAACAAGAGAAGAGGAAATTATTTTGCTGCTGTGTAATTTTCAGTAATTTTTTGAGTTTTTGCAAATGTTGGAATCTTGAGTTTTGAAAATTAAAATGTTAAAAAGTGAACTGAATGCTTTAAGATGAATGTGAATAGTTACTAATGGTAAAAATTGCTAATTATTGATGCATGTTGGTAGTTCTTTGATCAAATAAGCTGAGAGATCACGGTTATTGTTACAAAGAAAATCCTTTGAAGTCAGGGAGTCTCTCTCAGTCTGTAGAAAGTTAACTTTCACATCAGACTCCTTTTTTCATGGAATTGACCTGACTCTTATATAAAAGAACTCTATGAAAGAAGAGGTTTTAGATTATCAAGTGGCCACGTAGACATAATGATTTGCACCATGCATGTAAATCACAGAAATGGATTTTTATGCTGTCTCTTTCAATTTCTATCTCTTTGACACACCAGTACACGCTTTTACTAAATTCCTTCCACGTAAAAGGGACCTGAACATAAAAAGGCTGGACTAAATTTTGTAGTACGAAAATACTGTTTTTGGCTTATCTGTAAAAACGCCTATCTGCACAGGTATAATGGCACATATACCAATAGCACATATGTTATTTCTGAAATGAGCCAGAATTAGTTCCATATTACAAAATGTAGTTCAACTCAAAATTGACTCATAGGCACCACTTCTCAGCAGAGTGCTTTTCAAAAAAGTTTCCACATTGAATGTCTGAAAATATCAACCCTATCTGGCTTTATGACAGGACGAGGTTGCAGTTCGATAATCGTTGTTTTTGTAGAAAAATCTATTCAAGTTTGAATCTGTCATGTTCAAAGATCAATACCGTCCAACTAATATGTAATTTCATGTCTCCTGTTTGCAAAAAAATCAACTACACCACTAGGAAGGTAGTTTTTTGGATGCGAGAGAGCATTTTCCATCAAATGCTCTAGTTTAAATTTTTTAATTCCACATGAGTGTTTTTGCACACCCAATTTTGATTTATATACATTGCAAGCAGAGTATCGAAAGCATTTATTCGATACTTTGTTCGCTATGTGTGTCGATCAAAAAGTAGCAGCAGCTCCTAATTTTGATGGACAATACTTGACAGTCGCATAGATGATTGATTTTGATGGCAGAAACTAAACTAAAGCCTTTGAGCTTTAAGGTCCCTTTTTCAGTGGACAATCACGAATTTATAGGCATCAGGCTTCTATCACAGTTAATTTTTGTCTCTCCTCACTTTTTAGCTCTAGTTGTTACATGTGCCTCATTTTATTTCAGCACCTCCTCTGCAAAGCTGACCAATCCCCCAAAAAATGGAAGGCATTACCACTCTAAAAACATAGATCCCTCAGAACTGAAAGCAGCTAGAGAAAGGATTCAGACTAGTATTATGAACTTGGCAGAAGCTGTGTCAAAAAACGGTTCCAAACGTCGCGTCCATTCAAAAACAACGGACTCGCAAATATGCAAAGATTGCAGTGAAAGATTTTTGAATAGTGTCTTGCCAGACGAATTGCTGAGGCAAGGCAGTCCACCTAAAAATCACACGACCACTAGAGAGAAAACAAGGCGAAGGAAGCCGAAGAAAAATCCCACTCCACCTGAGCCTTCAAAGTTGAAGTGTTGTACAAACTGCTATTGTATCACTTGTAATAACTGCAAACACAAAGTTAAGCTGGATGAGTCCCTGTGTTCAATGTGTAAAGATAAGGCTGCTGTGTCCAAAAAACTGGAGAATATTCCAGGTTATTAACAGGACACAGAAAGTTCTTTCAATAGAACGTTTAAATTTGAAATTTCAATCTCTTAAAGCGTAGAATGTATTCTGTAATTATTTTTCACCATCCACAGTGAATCAATGGATCACTAGACAAGGTACGAATTTAAGAATTCTCACGTATTTTTCCTCTTCAAAATTTCACATTGAACATAATTTGTGCAACTAAAGTTACTGAAATTGATTTCTAACTAAGATATGGATGTTTTTATTCAGAACTGGTTATGAAAAATGAGAATTTTTTGCTCATTAAAAGAACCATAGTCGACGTGAATCAAATCGCGCTCTGCAATATTTTTGGGAAGCTCCTTGATCAAGCCCCTCACTTCCCCACTCTGCGTTTTTCAAAATGTAAACAATGTGCAATATCTGAACCAAAGCGCTAAGATGCTGCCATATTGTGGAAATTCACATCACAGAGACTGTTTTGGTTATGTTTATTGTGAGATTTAATTTGAGTAGACGGTGGTTTCTTTCAGGAGCAGGAGATTTGAATCAATCAAAAAAAGTTAATATCTTTGTTACAAGTCACTTCCAATAATTTCCGTCGCTTTAAGTAAATTATGTTGCATGTAAACTTTTGATGAGAAATTGAATTCATATCTTGTCCAGTGGTCCATTTTGTATCGTCTAATGTTTTTTTCAAATTGCCTTGAAGTCAGCACTTAACTGTGCAGAAAAATTTGCTATAATTTTTTTAAAAAAATCACTTACTTAAACTTACCTTACAACTTTTTATCGCCATAAGAGTATTGAAACTCTCACCCTAAGACTGTATGATGATGTCTTGCCAAATATATTTATCTCTAAAGTTATTTTTTTCTGAGTAGCTTCAAGTTAGTCTGATTTTGACCGTTCTCTCCTGGTGAATCCCTGTACATATTTTCATATTTAATCATTCTAAAAGATTTACTTTAACTCAAAATCATATATTTTGTAGCAACGAAACTGATTTACCTTGCAGTACAAAGCAAACATAGTTTTTTACTCAGTTAATTTTAGGCGTTATAAATTTATGCACATATTAAATTGTTAAGTTGATTAGTTTCTAAATAGTTTTAACTGTATGTTCCAAGCATCAAAAAGGAGAATTTATCAAAATATTTATGTAAATCCGTTTGAACACAAAATACTTTACACCGTAGGAAAATTGGACAGAGATGAGGAGAATCAACCTAACCACAACAGACATTGCCGAATTTATTCTTGTGCTTTACTTATTTACCAAAAAACCAAGCAACATTCTGACTTGGAATTGTGTAAGTGTATTCTTTGTATTATGAGATACAGATAAATTTAGAAAAAGTTGCAATGCAATCTGTTGTTTAGTTCTCTGTTGATAAAGTAATAACCATGAGGATATAAGGCAACATGGGAAGCCGTTAGGCTGGTCCTGGTCCAAATATAGTTCGCTGTATTATGAATGGAAAGTAGATTGTTTTAAAGTAACTCTTGTCTCGAAAAATTGGAAGAATCACAGAGCTCTTGAATGGCACATATTCTGAAGGAGTCAGTTCATTAAGGGATGAATTGGTTTTTAAGATTTGAAATTAGAGGGCAAACTTCTATGCTTAAGCATCAACATAAATGAGGAATAAGCTGAGAAAGACATGACTTAATTTCGAGAATATGGAAGATTTTTGGCAGATTTTTTTCACTTTCAAAATGAGTTCCTGTAGGAGAGTGAAAACTCTTAACTTGCTCTAGCTTCTAACTGAGTCTTGAGTGGTTTTTGCATGCTTCCTGTCCACTTTTTCTTTGCCTGTATGTCTCTTCAATCTTTGCAAATTTTGTACAGGACAAATTTGCAAATTTTTTGTACAACAAACTTTGTTCTTCTGAAGTATGAGCAGTACCAATTCTAGACTGTGGCACCTTTGTTTTTTAATTTGAAAATCAGATGTATATGGACTTTTTCTGTCTAATTGCGTCCATCCCAATTTATTAGAACGAGAGTAATACTGAGTGGTAAATGTTGAAGCTTGCTGATCGAATGGACACTATTCAATTTTTCTTGGATGAGAATCTTATTTTTTCTCCAGCTTGGCTCCAGCATTGTCATTTTTTATTGGCACCTCATGATCAGAGCTCTTTGAACTTTACTCCCTCAAAATGTCAACTTTAGATCCTTTATCAGCCTTCTCAATGCCAGAAGAATATTTTGAAATTACTTGCTCCAATGCACTTGTTATTATGCACCAAGCATGACGTTTGCTGTCAATATTTTCTGGAAGTTGGTTTTCACTCATGTTCAATTTTTTCTTTTTGTCTGTTGAAGCTGCAGCATGGAACATTGTTGTCCGAAAGTTGTGAGAGACTGTGCTCTGTGCCACAAAAATTTCCATGACAGTCTCAAAACACTCTTACGAACTCTCTCCTTTCATTGTGATCACTGCACCTCTCTTGAAGAGTTAGGGAGCTGCTTTAAATACCAATCATCTTTGCATTGTTAGATAGGAACCATGCTAAAACTTCTCATGAGACGCCATCGCATCAAAATTCTATGCAGAGCACATTGAACAAATGGAAATTTTTAAAAAAACAACTCGCAAGTGATAAATTAGCATTTATGGTTTACACTAGAATGACTGAACATACTCGGAGCAGTAGCAGTATTAAAAAAATTAAACTCAAGACATACATTATTTATTTCTCCTCTATATTTTTTTTATACTTGAATGAGTCAACTCAAACTTCCTATTCACCAAAAGAGAAACCAAGAAACAAACTCCAAAAAACCCCAGAAATATTGCATGTCAACTCAGTAATGAAAAACAAATTATATTGTAACCAAAGTTAGGTCTTACAATTTTTTTCCTTTTTTATTTATGTCCATGTGAGTGTGCTTTTGTTTCATCAAGAAAAGAATCAGCACCTAGAAAAAAATATTTTTTCAGGAACAATGCTAGCTCAGCAATTCATTTGACCATTTATTATTTTGGAGGGAAGCTCGAATAGACTGATTCTCTCAAAGAGTAAACCAGTAAATGTTCAAAAATGCAAATGCAAAAAAAATTACTAATTTTTAAATTGAATTAGGAGATGTTCTTTGTGTTCTACATAAAATGTTGCTGAGAAAACAAACCATCGTGGAGTTTATTACATTTCTGACACTGCCTTGGGATCCATTTTATTTTCATACTTCGCATGTCATGAAGCATATTGACAGTGAAACTGCAAAAATGCATATCTTGGTCCTGGTGTTTCAAAATATCTGCCTCTATTTCATTTTTTAAAAGGAGATCAAACCAACATTACTGAAAATTTTCACAGAATACTCCTCTGGCGGAGAAAAAAAGTAAATCACCAAATTTTTCAAAGAATGACTTTCAGTAGTTATCCATGTGGAAAATAAAGTATATGTGACAGGAGGGCTGCAACACCGCAAACCAATGTACTGTGTCCCTGCTGTTTTACCATCGATATGTGAGAAATTGACATGGACAGTTTAAGAAACATGTAACCACTTTGACAAGCATATTTGGCGTTACTAGTAGTTTCCAGAAAGCATTTGAATGCATTTGCTGCACAGCATCCATTCAATATTTTAGTCAATTTTTAAGATTGGGAATATGTAGTTGAATTTTAGTTGCTGTTATATGAACGCACTATTTGTTAGTATGTATTGGTGCATAACATTTTTTTGAAGATTCTAGTTCCTTAACTGATGATAATTGCGAACAAATTTTTAGGTGACTCAATATAAAAGGAGCCCAGTTTTATTCATGATATGCCACTGATTTGCCAATTAATCTCGACTGATCATCAAAATTTAAGTTTATCTAAATCACCTAAAGTACAAAATTGAACTCTCGGTCATCTTATTTTTAATCAGGAAGGTTATTCAATGTCACCCATAAATTAATTTTAGCATTATTATTTAATAAAAATATATTGTTTACTCACAGCACAGTAATGGTTGTGGTATTGTGGATAATATGGTGCACTTGAAAATCTCAAGTATTATGCACCCAAAAGTACATTATTGTGCATCCAGTTATTCTAGTCTCTGGAAAAGGAACAAGCCTTAAAACATTATGAACGCGTAAGGATTACAAGCTCAATTCACTTCCTCATCAAAACTTAGCCGTATCATCCTCAAAGTTGCTATGTTGTATAAGAATATCATATTATGTTAACAGGATAATTGTAACTGAAATTGATCATTTATTCAATTTGAACGACATTTTCTTGCATTTTTGTAAAATTTTAGTGAACATGTTGCATGAAATAAACAGTCTTCATGTGAATGTTTAACTCATTTAATGAAGTAAACATTTTAGTGCTTTATATTATGTGTTCTATTTTTATCTCTAAATTTCTCAATGCTAAATCAGAATATCGACAGTGTAAGTCGGTAATCACATAACTCGGTTTGTGACGCTGCAGACTTCCCGTCATACTTTATTTTTATTTTTTAAACGGAAAATTACTCAACGGCAATTCTTTAAAACTTTTCCTCTCTGTGCGAAGAAAATTCTGCAAAAACTTCAAGGAATGATGTCAATTTGTTCTCCTTTAGAAAAGTAACATAGAGGCGGAGATTTTTAACACCGCAAACAAGATATGTGAGTGCGGACTTATGCTGTCGATGTGGACCACGGACAGAAGAGGGAACTTTGCTGACTATTCCTCACCATGTATAATGTATATCTATGCCAACAAACTTTAGCAACCCATCTATATTTCGTGGCAAATGGTGAGACTTTAATATGTAGTCACACAGGAAAAGAGTTAGGATTAAAATCGACGAGTTTGAGTAGTGTATCGTACCCATTGGTTGAATAAAGCCATGTCCAGTTTGCTTTAGTCCTAAATGCTAAAAGGTTGTAAAATCACTTTGCAGGATTTGATTGTTGACTTAATCGTCAAAATAAATATCAGCAGTGAAACTATGCCAAAACACATTTCTCTGCAATCTTTCCGGCTTAATTTACTTTTCAAATGAAAAAATACTCAACCTCATTTCTGGAAAACTTCACTAATTTCTCTTTCTGCCTAAAAATTTCAAGCAGTAGCGTCTAGTTTGTTCATTCTTGATGAAGTAAAATGGGATAGGAGATTTTGTAGCTGAGATATGCATTTTTGTAGTCTTACCATTGAAATGCTTTTTAAGCTCTAGAGAATTAATAATTTGAAACATTAAAAAAAGTGCAAAATATGCAAACAATGCCTTATTAAAGTTTTAAAGATTAAGGACTCGAAGCACCAATATCCTTCGCAGATGGGTAGCACATCTGTATCAAATTATTGCCCTCATTCTTCATACATTTTTTGATGGTATTATCATTCAAATTTATTTTCTGACTGATTTTAAATAGTAGGAACTAATTTAGAAAAGCCAACTCTGTAAGCCTTTTTTCATTTTTTTTTGTATTACCTACTGATGCAAGTATTCTAAGCCAGTAGGTAGCAATAACCGGTATTCTCACTTTTATTTTTGATTCCTTTCCTTTTTTTCAAATTTTATTTTATTATGTCATCTTATTCTTATGAACATAAGTAAGAAAAACTACCTATTAGAATTTTCTGCAGAAAATCATCTCTGAGCTGAAAGAGCTTTTGAAGAGAGTGACACCTCTGCATTTCCCATTTTTACAGCTTGAGCATTTCATTTGACTCGATAGAAGAAAATTCGAGTGTCAAGTTCTTGAGAGGTTCTTTGTTGATGGGGGAACAAAAAGGATAAGGTGAGGTTGGGTAACTGGGCGGTGGGGTAACTGGGCAGTACCCTCCGTATTTCTACCAGATTAGTGCAAAAATTGTTTTCACTGTTGGCATACCTTCATTATGACGTAAACCATCTAGAACATGTAAACATAACTTCAAAAAAAAATTTTATGGTGAATGGTGAAGTGCCGAAAATTGTACAGCTTTTTTTTCAAAACAACGCCAGAGTTGGTCCCGAAAAGAGCCTCATATCTCACTCCCAGCAAGTATTTTATTCAACTTTGACAATTCTTCTT